TGGGATGGGGACACTCAGGTGGGACTGGGGGCCATGGGGGGGACACCGGGCTGGGATGGACATGGGGTGGGCTGGGGGCACCGGGGTGGGATGGGGACACTGAGGTGTCATGGACATGGCGGGGACACCGGGCTGGGATGGGGATGTCAGGGATGGGGTTTCGGAGGACAGAGGTGAGGGGATGGGGCTGCCAGGGGCTTGGGGGGCAGTGGGCTGGGGGTACAGGGGCTGCGATGGCACGCTCAGGCTGCTGAGGGGTGGGGGGACCATAGTGCCAGGGGTGGGACTCCTGGGATGGGCTGGGGAGGGGTCTGGGAGCACCAGGGTGGCATTTTGGGGCGCCGGGGCGCTGGCACCGCCGTTTTTTCCGCGGTGCCAGCGCTGCCCGTGCTGCAGAGCTGGCGTCGGCGGAGCAGCGGGCACGGCAGCGGGGGCTGGCACTGCTGCGGGTGCCGCAGAGCCCCGCCGTGCTGGTGCGGGCACCGGGGCCGGCTCTGGGCCGGGACCTCCTCGAGCTCTACTTCGAGAACCGGCGCAGCGGCGGCGGCCGCGTCAGGGACGTGCGGCTGCTGCCAGGTGGGCGCGGGGCCGTGGTCACCTTCCAGGAGGCAGCAGGTGAGCGGTGCCAGGTGAGCGGTGCCAGGTGAGCCGTTCTGGGCCACCCTCTGCCCGTCCTTTTGTCCCCCCCGCAGCCGCAGGGCGGGTGCTGCAGAGGCCACACCGGCTGCAGGACGCCGTGCTGGAACTCGTCCCTCACTACCCCTTCCTGGAGCTGCCCCCGGGCACCGTCCCCGCTCCGGACAGGGCCCGTCCTCCCGGCACGGAGCCCCTGCTGGTCACGGAGCCCTCGCTGGACACAGATTGCCCGCCGGACACAGCCCCCAGCGTGGCACACGCGAACCCCCGGCCTGACACAGCGCCAGCATCGGTGCCGGAGCGGCCGCCGGCCACCGTCCCCAGCGGGGACAAGGACACAGAGGGGCTCAGGGCCGTGCCCGGCCAGGCCCAGCGCCCGGAGCCGGTGTCCGTGGGGGTCCCGGAGCCGGTGTCCCTGGGGGTCCCGGAGCCGGTGTCCCTGGGGGTCCCGGAGCCGGTGTCGGTGGTACCGGCGCAGGACGAGGCGCTGGTGCCGGCGGAGCCCGGAGCTCTGCGGTTCCTGCAGCAGCACCACCAGGACGTGCTCGACAGCATCCCCGAAGTGTCCCTGCTGCCACTGGAGGGAGGCGACATCTCTGGGTTCCGGGTGAGTGGCAGGTGGGGCTGGGGGAAGGTGCGGGCAGGTGCAGGCAGCAGTGCAGGCAGGTGTGAGCAGGTGCAGGAAGGTGTGAACAGGTGCAGGAAGGTGTGAGCAGGTACAGGAAGGTGTGGGCAGGTGCAGGCAGGTGTGAACAGGTGCAGGCAGGTGTGAACAGGTGCAGGCAGGTGTGAGCAGGGCTCTGTGCCGTGCTCCCACCTCCCCATGCTCGCGGCACATCCTGGTGCCAGACGCTGCCAGCCCCGTGGTGCTGCCCGCCCTGCCTGCAGGTGAGTGGGGAGCTGGGCAGGCAGGTGTGCCCAGGTGCTGACCCTTTGCCCATCTGCTGCCAGGTGAGCGGGGAGGCGGGCCGCTGCCAGGCAGTGGCAGATTTCCTGCAGAGCCTGCTGGACTCGGTGGTCTCACACTCCACAACCCTGCGCTTCCCCGGCGTTGCCCGGTTCCTGCGGGACCTGGGCGGGCAGAGCCTCCTCCAGCAGCTGGAGAGCCGCTTCCAGTGCGTCATCCAGCTGGAAGGCGAACCCTGGAGCGCTCCAGATCCCCAGGTCAGCCTCGCGGGGTGGGGCCTGGCCAGCGGGTGCCGTTGTGCTGGTCCCTGGTACGGGGGTGATGCCAGCCCTCCATCCCCACAGCCGGAGCTGGAGGAGCTGCTGCCCCCAAAGAGCCACGGGGACCCCCGGTCACACTCCTGGCACCAGGACCTGCCCGAGGGCACCAATGCCGCTGCTGCTGCTGCTGCTGCTGCTGGTGATGATGATGATGATGACGATGAGGGCTTTCATTCCAACGCAGGTGAGGGGTGAGGGTGCCACAGTGGGGTGACGCTCTCGTGGTCCTCGCGGGTGACACCGCGCTGCCCCCGCAGAGGAGATCAAGGAGGTGATGGCAGCGCTGCACCCGAGCAGCGCCAGCGGCCGCGGCACCCCCGAGCCGTGGCCTGGCACCGTGCCCGGCGGCGAGTGGGACCCCGAGGACGAGATCCCGTGTGCGGCCGGCGGCAACGGCGCCGAGGAGCTGCTGTCGCACACCAGGGTGGAGGAGGAGGTGCAGATGGCCCTGGCCATCCAGTGCTCCATGGACAACACGTGGTGCGAGGAGCGGGAGCTGGCCCGCGCCACCGCGCTGTCCCTGCGCTCCTACAGCCGGCAGCAGCAGCAGGAGCAGGCCCAGGAGGACGCCGGGCTCCTGGCAGCGCTGGAAGCCTCGCTGGAGGAGGCTCTGCAGGCGGCAGACGCGGCGCGGCTCACGGTGTTCTGCTCCTTGGAGCAGGACGCGGCGGCGGTGCCGCGGGAGCTGGAGCGGGCGCTGGCGGGGCGGCAGCGGGCACGGGAGGTGGCGAGCGAGCGGCTGCGGGCACTGCCAGCCGCAGGGCGCTGTGCCCTGGCGCTGCTGCGGCGCCGGCACGCCGTGCACCTGGAGCTGCGCGGTGACACCGCCTCGCTGCGCGGCTTCGCCGACTACCTGGGCCCTGCTGCCCAGGAGCTCACGGCGCTGCTGCAGCGCCTGCCAGCGCCGGGCCACGGTGCCACCTCTGTCACCACCTCTGCCACCACCGCCACCACCACCGCCACCACTGTCACCGCCGCCGCCACCGCGCACTGGGTGCGCTGGGAGCCGTCTGGCACCGCTGTCCCCTACGCCCCCGAGGCAGCGGCGCTGCTGGAGCAGGCCTGGGCGAGCCAGGAGCGCCGGCTGGATCTGGTGCTGGACGGGAGGCCCTTCACCGTGGATTTGGAGCGCATGGAGGAGTTCGACATCGGCAGCGGCCGCGCCGTGCCCGTGTGCCGCAGCCAACCCCCGCTGGACAGCACCTGCTGCCTGCTCGGTGCGTGGGGGCACCGTGGGGCCCGGCGCTGCCCCTCGCCGTGCCCACGCTTGTCACTGGTGGGGTTTTCGGGGTCCCTTTGGGATCCCTGAGGCTGCTTAGGAGCAAATTCCCGAGCCTTGCTCAGATAGAATTGTGGCTCGCGGTGAGCTCTCAGGCCAGCGGGGAAAAGAGACCAGCACGTGCAGAGAGGCACAAA